ATGTATATAGATTTCGCAACTGTTTTACCAGCATGCTGACACAAAACGTGCAATACCATATTTTTGAGTTTTACACAACGACATAGTTTTCAAAAACATCTCATAAATCCTGATTATTAATAGAACTGCACTTACTTCTAAATGTTATGTGTTTCATTTTCCAAATACATGAAAAAGACAATAAAATGACAATCTTTCAAAATACTAGCCATAAAACAACCATTAGTCTAACTTGTAGGATGTTTACGCCAAAATGTTAAAAACTTTGTAAATTAATTAATTTATTAATTTATGTATTTATTTGTTTATTTACACATTTTTTGTGAGAAATACCTGGATACACAAAACAAGATATTACACATTGTAACATATGGTATGCTGCGATATCTGCGTAATTTAAGTCAAGAAATATGACAGATTTTTTTTTTTAGAACGGAAGAACTGAAAAAGTTCTGAACAAAACACATCATTATGCATCAATCCATCAAAAGATAGATAGATAGATAGATAGATAGATAGATAGATAGATAGATAGATAGATAGATAGATAGATAGATAGATAGATAGATAGATAGACTACTTAATAAACCACTGTTCGCAGTGAGTTTCTATCAAACACCTACAACATGAGCATGTTCATAACAACACTGAAAAGTCCAACAACGACAATCAGACAATCATCTGTATTCGTTGTCCGAAGGGAACCACCTGATGAGCGCAAACTAAAGCGTCCACAATGGAGGTGATTGCAGAACTACAAGGTGCGGACACCGCTGAGTTTAAGCGTGGAGAAGAGGATCCGCTCTCCTCCACGAGTTCCACCTCAGCCCACGTCGGAAAAGCTCCGCGTGGTCTCTCGCAGCGGTAGCGCTGATTTAACAAAGGGCGCTGCAGCAAAGCCGTGGTTGGCCCACACGGCGGTGGAACACATCCGTGCAAAATGTCGCAACTGCTGACACACTGGACCACATGAGGGATCACTTGACTTTTCTGAAGCTCGGAGAGATGTGATAATTGCAATAATTAGGCGTGTTTAATAGACCGACGCTTCTTCTTCTTTTTTTCCCCTCGTTCTTTTGTCCCTCAAGGAAAAGCTCTGTCCCGATTTTTTTTTTTTTTTTGCATTCCCTTGTTCTGCGTCCCATGAATGGCTTGATCATTTTGTGTCCAGAATAAACAAACAAAACTTATATACCTTACAATACTCAATATGTAACACGCTTGCTACAATCAGAATATTTCCTTTCAAACAGGCCAACAAACAACACCAAGGGAGGGATTTTATGAAGATGTAAAGTAAAATAAGTCAACATCACGCTCTTTTTGTGGCACAGAGGTTTTAAAATGGTATTTTAATCCATATTCTCTCACACTGCACTTTAACTCCCAAGACACTGGGCAGTAAAAAAATGATGGCGTGGACACAAAAAAAAAAAAACGTGGAAACATTATACCTCTATAAAAGCAAGAATGGGGGCCATAGAGAGTTATCATAGTAAAGTTTGACTATCATGAAAAGGATATTGGATCTACCGTGCCAAATCAATTAGAGTGGGGAGCTGGGTCAGAAATGTGCAGCGCCGGTGGACAAGCTACGTCAGAAACAAGCCACAAAAAAAAAAAAAAAATGTTTCTGAGGAGGAATAGCATGTTGCAGTGTGTACAAGTAGCAACTCAGGGATCCAGAGGCTACATTTCTAAATCAATCAAATCAATAACACACAGTATTTCTCCATGTCTCCATTAAATGAAATGTTACCTTTATTTCGAAAAGTTTGTATCTGTTGGCTATACTCCTAACTTTGCGTTTTCTCATCAGATTTACAAGACTGGATAACATCAGAAACTAAAAAAAAAAAAAAAAAAGAAAAAACCCAAAGCATTTTTGAAAAACAAAAAACAACTTTTATTTGAATGCATTTATTTAATACGGACTTTGAGAGAAATTCTTTATTAATATCAGTGACACAGTTACTGGTATACAGGCTGCTATTAGTTTTACATTGCCGCATTTTGGCAGAAGGATAGCTGGTCTTCTCCTGCTCTGCATGTTTCAGCAGACAAAGCAATTTGACCTTTCCTCTTTGCACAGCGTCTCTAGATCATCCAGTTCTGGGTTGTCTCTTATGATCTGTTATCTTAGGTCATCCCAAAGGTTTGGGATCTGGGAACCGAGATGGTCATGGAAAAATTGATTTTGTGTCAGTTGAACCATTACCATGTTGATTTGGCCATATGTTTTGGATCCTGCAGAACCAAATTGCAAGCACTCTAACAAGGTCCTGTTTTATGCTCTCTTCTCTTCAGCTCACCATACAGATTATTATTTTTGTGTTTTAAATTGATCGTTGATTTATTGGGTTGATATTGTGTCTGGTGAACAGTTTCCTTGTTGTTATGGCCACGTGTTTCTGATCATTAATGCATCGAATCACTGGATTATGACCAGTTAAAATTTTTTAGGGGAGTACACCAACATTTTATGAAGAAGTTGCCTGATATTTCATTATGCTATGAAATACGAAAGAGATCCAGCCTACATTATCCTCATCTGGCCAACGCAAAAACATTATAGTGAAGATCTTAGAAAAGTTTAACCAACTCCACATGTTTACATTTGTGATAGTAGGATAGACAAAGCTTATATCGGGTATTTCTCAAATAATCATTTGGTATGCTAATGTGAAGAGTTGATGATCCCAAGTTGTCACTATTTGTTGATGTTTTATTGAGCTTTAGAGTTGTTTTGACCTTGGATATCATCCTGATGATCTGTTTGAAATTGCAAGACAAGTGTGGGTCCTAAAAAATACTAAACTACATTTACCTCTGAAAGCCGTAACTTTCATTCATATTATAAATTTGTTTCATTTAGACATAGCTCTGAGTTTGTGAAACTGGCAGCTGATTGTAAAACAGCATGCACTTAACCTTTATTGGCCCTGTAAATGAAGAAGCCACTGCTGTGTAAGGAGGCCCTTAATAGTGCATCATCACTGAAGTTTCTGTTCTGAAATAATGACTATTGGTTCAGGATTTGGATAATGGACAATTATTGCAAGCTCTTGTTGTTTTTTTGTTTTTTTTGTTTGTTTGTTTGTCCTTTTTTTCTTTGCTTAGATTATTTTTTCTTTATATGTCTGATGATATGTCAAATATCATGTGCTATTGAAACTATAGTAGAAGCTTTGGATAAAGCAGTTTAATCTGCTGTACTGTACTATAATACCTTCTTTTCTTAAGTAGGACAGAACTGATCGTTTTCTGTAAGATTTAAATATTTGTCAATCAAGGAACAAATTGTATTATGACATGCTGGAATTATGAACCACACATTTTAAACTTAAAAGGTTAAGCTAATTTAGCCTACAGTTTTACAGCATGGAAAATAAAAGGTTTGTGATTCATTTCTATTTCCAAAAATAAATAAATTCTGCTTAAGATCGTATTTACATTAATAAGCAGTGATGATCAAAATGGAGTTCAGGAATGACATAAATTAAATAAGGGCAGCTAATTTAATTGTATTCACATGCATGTTTTAAAGTGTAGCTGCTCAGAAAGAGCCTAATTGTACTCCACTCTGCAAGAGAGTATAATGGCGGAAAAATATACATTATCTGAAAGATCAAGTCATCAATTAAGATAAACATCTCAGGAAGGTCACAGGTTTGAAATAGGGAAATCCGTTCTCATACAAATGTTCCATTTACAAGGCACTATCAAAAGACTTTTTTTTTTTTCATGTGTTTGATCTTATCAAATATAACTGGCCCCAAAACCTATCAGTGGCAGTTCAAACTGAGTGGAGTTATCATGACAAAAGGCTTGAGAAGGTGAACCCAGGTGAGGCAGAAGAACCAAAAACAGATAATCAGAGCATTTGTTAAAGGAACAGCCAAAGGGCATGCAGGCTTAAATTAACACTCCAGCAAACGGCGACTGAAAACCGTCGAGCTAACAGTTCATGGTCTCATGACGAACACGCAGTCACACCTCCTGTGAGATTCTTATCTAACTGGAATTACAGAGAATAACAGAGAAGTGGGTTTCTACCTCTTCACGCATAAAAAGCAAACTTGGCGCGTTTGTATTATAGACCCAAGACAAATTTAGTGACTTATGAGGCTTATCGTTTGCCTGCTGATAAAGTGAATGGCAACAGAACGCCGTGCTTATCAGATACAAGCGAAACTATCAAAAAGATCTACGGAAAACTGGAGAATGCTGTATCAGTTTGGACTTAGAATAGAAACAACGAAATCCAAAAATCTTTACAGGTTGCAAAAATTAAAAAAAAGTGCTATTTTAGACGCCATGATCTTTCCATAAAGGGAAATCTGAGTGAAGTTAACTATTTACAGTATTTTTGTGAAGTTTACAGATGCTTAAAAATCTTGGAACTTTTACAGTGTTTAAATCTGAATTTATGTATTTTTACACATATTTCCAATTTTATCTAACGGAACAACTTTAAATTATATACAGCCTTTTATTTCACAGAAAATAAGCATGTGTAAAATAAAACGTTACATTAACCGTCGGATGTCGCAGAGCTCAAAAGAAACTTATATTTTCACCTGTTCCTGTAAAGCTGCTCTCATGAGATTAGCATTAAGGGCAAAACATCTGACTATAGAGAGCTGACTATGCAAAACCTATTTATGTTTTAATAGAGCTTAAAATATTTAAACTAGTTGACATTAACATGTCCTTATGACCGCCACATCTTGTGTCTTACCGGTCTTGTTCGAACATCATTAATTCCTTTCCCCTGAAAAAATCAACAGCTCCTAATTTCTGTTCAGTTTTAGATAAAACATAAAATCACCCAATCCCTCACACTGGAAACACAGAATTCATTACTTTACATGCACATATAAATTCGGCCACAAGAGGGCACTTTCTTTCTTTCTTTACATCTATCTATCTATCTATCTATCTATCTATCTATCTATCTATCTATCTATCTATCTATCTATCTATCTATCTATCTATCTAAGTATGTTTTTGTTTTATTGCAGCTTTTATCTTATTTTTTTATTTATTTCAAATGTTGTACTAATTACTTTTTTCTACTATCAATCTGAATTTGTATAGTTGAAAAGTGTAACAAATACTCACAGCATACATCCACTAATTCAATATAACATTATTAAAAAGTAATCTATCCTAAACCTTAAAAAAAAAAATCTAACCTGGAAGTAATTCAGTAAATTACTTGCATGACGCAGTGTAATTTGGTTTAAAATGAAATCTGGTCTGTGCTGGGAATTAATTTCTAGAATTATATTTCAAACTCTCTGCATTGCAAGATACTCTTTCTCATGGTTGTCAAAAAATGATTTTTTAAAAAGCTTATAGATATGGAATACAGCATTTTTTCCATTACATACTCTGTGCATTTAGGAAGGAGGGGGCTTATGCAATGCTACGCAGAAGAATGCACTCCTTGAACTTTATCTCCTTCATTTTGTTGGCATTTTATGTTGCAGAACAATACAAACCCATGAAGTTTTAAATAATGCTCTTAATTATCATGTGTGTGTGTGTGTATGTTGTGCACATAAAGTCTGCCTCATAATCTCAAACATCTAAAGAAACTTCATTCAAACCAGTTGCTTTGAGAAATCCCCTAATCAGTTAATCAAGTTCACTTGTGCGTAATTTAAATTTGGTATAAAGACAGTTGTTCTGTGAAGGTCTCAAAGGTTTGTCAGAGAACATCAACAAATAAAGGACATAATGAAGACTAAGGAAAACATCAGTAAGGTCAGGGAAAAATGTTGAGACCATAATAGCTCAGTGACCAGCTTTTACAAACATTACACAGACAGTTTGTTTGAAGTGTGATTTTAAAGGATTATAATGTTCTGACATGCCTTGCACAAGTATTCATATACTTCTGACATCTGAACAGTCTTTGCTGTGAGCTATCCATTGTAGCTCTGGATGTATGCTTAAGGGTTGAGTGCTACTGGAAGGCGAACTTCTGTTCCTGTCTTAATAGGTTTTCTTCCAGGATTGCCCTGTATTGAGCAGCAACACTGACGCACTTCCCTCTTTGCCCTAAAGTAAATAATTTCCACCTAATGATGCTGTCGTCAGTATGGTTCTCCTTCAACTTCAGGTTTTGGTCTCACATTACTTTTTTTTTCTTTTTTACAGTACAGAACAAGCCATTATATAGGTAGATTTTACTACATGAGCCTGTAAGTGGAGTCTATCAATACTCTCCTTGTCTGTCCTGTCAGCTTAGGTGGACTCGCATGTCTCGGTTTGCATTTACACCATACTCCTTCCGTTTTCATGCAGTTAGTTCATTTTGTTCATTTATGTTCTCTAAGAAGGGCTTCACAAAACAGCTACATTTATGTAGATGTGAAATTATACACAAGTGGATTGTACACTTGCTATAGCTCTTCAGGCACTTGGATTTTACTTATGGGGTTTTCAGAATAATGTAATAAGAAATGGAAACGTGTAATCATTTTTGCTTTCTCTTCACAATAATGTGCTACTTTGTTCTTGGAACATGCATTCTTTCAAGTTTGCTGTTACAACGTGAGAAGCGTGAATGCTTTTGAAAGACCTTGCAGTCGCTGTTGAAGATGTCACCGCCGTCGCCCTGCTCGGCGCTGTCCGATGACTGTGGTGCTGAAAGTCAAAGCGACACATCTGACGGCGCTTCTCACTGTTAGAGCAGGTGCCCAATTTTAATTTCACGGTTTAATAGGGCGCATCGATCACATGATGCTCGTTGTGACGCCAACCAGGTGACAACGGATCAGAAAATCAATCTGAACACGTCTATTTACTCTCTCTCTCTCTCTCTCTCTCTCTCTCTCTCTCTCTCTCTTTTCTTTTCGTCTATTCAGGTAGTTGTTTCACGGTTAGATTTAGCATCCCTGTTCTCGGGTTTTGCTCCAGGGGGGCTGTTACACGAGTCTGTGAACCGGATGGAGCTGGACTGAAACCAGGTCAAACTCACACTTAGAGAAAATAAAAAAATAATAAAATAAATAAATAAATAAAAGTCACATGAAAAAAAAACGTTTTTAACTGATTTTGATGCCGAGTACATATTAATTATTAACATTTAGCTTGTGTGGTCAAATGAAGCTGTGCAATATGGGAGAACATGGCGGACAAAGTCCATGGACAAAGCGGCTCTGCTTTTGCTCAGTCTAACGAAGAAGAAGGAGAAGAATACGAGTGCAAAATCTGCTACAACCACTACGACTTGGACCGTCGCATTCCCAAAGAGTTGAGCTGCTCCCACACCTTCTGTCTGGAGTGCCTCGAAACTCTGCACTCACGAGAGGGTCGAGGATGGAGGATCGGCTGTCCCGTGTGTCGCCATCGGACTCCGGTTCGGGAATATCAGGTTCAAAACCTCCCGAACAACAGGGCGCTGTCCGAGGCTCTTCCCCTTAGAGAGCATCGGCGACAGAGCTCATCAGACACGGAAGAACAACAGACAGGTCCGTCCGGATCTTTCGCCACCGAGGAACGCTGTGAGACCTGCAAGAACGCAGCCTTTACCGCGGGCTGTGTGTGCGCCATCTTCTCCTTCCTCTCCATGGTGGTGCTTTTATTTCTGGGCCTCATTTTCGTGCACAACTTCAACCACATAGCGTCTCCCGTCGGCCCGGTTTGTCTGTTCGTCGCCAGCGTCCTGGCTCTGCTCTCTATAATACTCACTTGGCTGATGTGCATGCTGAAGTATGGAGCAGAAGCAGAAGCGAGCACTCTAAGTTCCCTCACCTCTAATGTAATGTGATCCTCAGAGTTTGAACTGGACTTTTGAAATGGGATATTCAGAGGTGTGAAAGTCAAGGGCTTGACGCGCCTCCATAGTGAATTTTGAGAACAATTAGGATTGTCAATAAATGACTGTGTGCTTGATGAAAATGGACTAATTGTGTCGGAAATGGTTGTTGCTCATTTGTTTGAGTTTCATTTACTGTGGTGAGGAGCGCCACATAACCAATTTATTTTCAAACCTCATGTTACCCTTTATGTCCTTTTTATTTTCAGTATCTTCAAACAGTCCATTTCATGCCAACACAGCATTTTTTTTTGTCAGGGTGGCACTGTGTCAGAGACTAGAATAATGCTAAAATAAATAAATAAATAAATAAATAAATAAACAAAATAAAATCACTACATGTACAAAACAATACATATGTACTTCTTAGAAGGGCCCAATCTAGACTGAAATAACCAATAGTGATCACAGATTCCTGCTGAGAAACGTTTTCTAAGAAGAGTTAAAAATTTCAATCTCTTGTTGCCGTTCTCAAGTGCAAACGGCGGTTCCTGCCCAAGGCGACGTTCATGTCAGAAGAACTGATACTGCCAATGGCAAATTGTATCATTTGGCTCTGCACCAATTTGCTCTTTACCTAACTTTACATGCAGTGCAGTTTCATATTGTTTGTTGTACCTAAGATCCACTTACGGCTTTTTATTGTAATTATGTATTTCATGAACTTTTAAGATTAAAATAGAAACTCTTCAAAGTTCCAAGACAAACTATTTTATTTGATCGAGTTGTTACTGTACTCCCTTGCTAAAACCTGACATTCTATTCCACCCATTTAACATAGTTATAAAACGTCATTGTCAAGGCAGACCAAAACGTTGCACTGTTGGGTGTAACTTGAGTTATGGCAGGAATTAAACATTCTTCAAAAGAGCGCTCCATTGTGTTCCTAAAGAAAAGTTGTGTAATAAGTTATCAAAGCTGCCAAACAGTGAAATAACAACAGAGCACTTGAAAGAAGAAAAAATAGCAAAACTAAAAAGGTAAAAAGCAAAGAGGTGAAATGACCTGAGCCTTCTTTATTTATTTAAATAAGATTAATATAAAAGCATATCTTATTTAAAAAAAGGTATTGCATTGAAGCAAAAAAAAAGACAATCCACACTTCTAACAGCTTAAAAGACTTAATAATTAGAAAAGTTTAGATTGAGCTGAAATCTGCAAAATAAAAAACTTACATACCAAAGCATAACGTCACCAATCATTTGAAATCAACATTGAGATATTAAGAGATAATATCCTTATCTGTTTCCTGTATAACAACCTGTTTGTGTTTTATTAATCAAATCAATGCATTATTTGCTAAGGCACAATTATTTCAATCACCTATACCATGGACTCAGACCTGTTTACCTCATAACTACCTTTGTGTGATCACAGTGACTCCCTACGGTGGAGCAGGTCAGCAGGGGAACCCAGATCAGTAACCCTGAGGGGACATGAATCATTCAAAGAAAAAGAAATAACTATGAGGCAGGGGGCCTAAATACATAGTTTTGTAATGTGACAAAACAATAGAAGTGCAGATGCCCTCCTGCAGGGTTCTAAATCATCTCATTACTTTTAAGTTTGTTTAAGGTTATTTGTTGGCAGTTAATTATTAGCTTAGTGCTTTTTGACATAATTTTACTTTTTTTTTTTAAATGTGGACGAAAAATAACAATGTGAATGAACTGACTGGGCTCAAAGACTTATGATCAAGCTGATGTCTCCATTGTGTTGATTCCGAGTCACACAGTGGGCATTTATATCCACCCAGTGTTGTCCTAAGTGGAGACAGTGGTCTTCGTAGTTAAAATCCATCCCTTTTAGGTCCCTCAAAAGAATTCCTTCTTTTGGTCAGTGAGTAATGCCGCTTAAATGCCACCATGACAAAAGCTTGAGAGAGGAAAAAAAAAAGAAAGGAGGGGTGGCAGACTTCTACTTGGAGCAATATAGGCAACGCTGTGTCTGGGGCAAAGGGGCTCATGTCATGGGGACTGTAGGGCTTAAAGTTAAAGATCACTTTGAAATCTGCATCCCCTACCATCAGACTCTCCTGGTATCTCCCCACCCTTCCTCCTCCCTGCAGCCATCATTTCAGCTCCCAAAAAAAATAAAAAGCTGTCTCCACAGAAAAGGGGATGAGTGGAGAGTAGATCCTCTTTGATGACAGAGAAGGATCCTTTTGTTCCCTAATCCCCACAAAACCCCCCTGGCACCCCTTTTTTCCTCTCTCTGTAAGTCCAATTGGACATTAAGTGGCTTCCGTCAGGGGTTCAAAACATATTTGTTTACCTTTTCTACAATAAATGACAAGAAGCTTTTACTTTTTACTTTCAGTGATTTAAATAATTTATTAAGCAGAACAATAAAAAAAAACATGTGAAATGGCTCTCACACTTTTGGGAAAGTTTTTCAGTGAATAAATGAAACTTTCCTTGGATCTCTTGGAGTTGCAGGTGAGTCCCAGGGTTCTGACCATTATTTTCTGTGCACAAATGTCAAGAATCGAATGGAGACAGTTGTGGGATACACATCTTCCTGCAACTTGCCTTAAGTGTGTGCAAAGTGTGTCGATGTGTCATTACCAGATTGGACACACATATTTCACAGGGGAGATGAAAGTCTTCCATATACTTGTAACATCTGGACCCATCAGAACCTCAAAGACATTGCCCGAGGAAAGCGATTATCACCTCTCCGTACGCACTTTGACTCGTCATGTGATCACACACTTGTGTATGTATGCACGTGTGTTCGAGTGTGTGTGCCTATGGGGTGTGTATGTTGCGGATGGGGGGTTGTGGGGAAGAATGAGCGTGCAGTTGTCAAAATGTCCCTGCAAAGACATATGGTCTAAAAAGCATGCAAAACCTCCAGAGTCAAGTGACGTGAGCTCAATGTTTAAGGTTAAAAGTGTCAAACGAAGCTTATCTTGCAACTTCACTTTAATCTCGTCGCCCTAAACATGTCAAGGAAGATGTTGTGTCTGTTTTATGTATGGACACGGACATTTTCCTATGCCAAATTGAAACAAATGGCATGATAAATCACAGGAAGTATCAAATCTGGCTCCCTCTTGTGTGTGAAAAAATGTTTGCATGGAAAAAGGGGATTGAAAAATTAACAAACTGTCTGTTAAAATGACAACAAGTGAATTTCTAAATTCTTCCAAACAATTAGTTTTCAAGGGAAAAAAACTTACCTCAAGCTATAGTTTTAATGACAAATCATTATTAAAAGCACACCCACTGATTTTGTTGTGTTTCACTGTCTATATTGTTTGGCAAACCAAACCCTGAAGAAGAATCCTAACGGAATACAATCTCTGCAGATGGTGTGCATGTTAGCCACCCTGTTTCCCAAGGCAGTCTTCTTTTTTATAAAAGAATTTATATCTACTAACTGCAAATTAAACATATTTAAAAAAAAAATGCATCGTTTGTATACAGTTTATATATATGTTTTTGTTTTGTTTTTTTCTAAAAAAAAGTGTTTTAAGTCAGCAACTACTGTACTTAACGTAGGCCTGGACTGGGAACAATAAATGGACCAGACATTTTTGCCCACCACTATTTTTTTAATATAATATATTAATATATGAAAGCACATGACCAACAAGGGGACATATCTGCATGTTGTGTTGTTTCAAAAATTTAAATAAAGTGCAGTCGCCTACAAGGTAGAGCATAGCCACTGTAAATAAAAAAAAAAAAACTAAACCGGTACTATGTTTCACTGCTGAGTTTCATCTTGGGAGAGATGGTCAGTCTCACATTCCCCATCTTGAAGTGAAAGTGGATGCGAAAGAAACACCACTAGACGTCTATTTTCAGTACTTTATGAAATATACTGTTCATAGAAATACACAGTTATGCCCATAGTAAGACAATAGATACATGTACTATAAATATATATATATATATATATATATATATATATATATATATATATATATATATATATATATATATATATATATATATATATATATATATATAAAAGTGGCACCTTAAAATATAAAACACTGTTTTATTTCTTTGGTTACCAAATATAAATCCTCTATTTCAGTGATACTAATATTACATGGTGATAACAAGTAAATAGAGTAAAAATACTATAATGTCTTACTTTTTTCTTTATCTTTCTCTATATGAAATAGTTGAAAATATATTGCTCAGTGTTAACATTATATGGACATTTTTTATGCACACATGTTGATAGAATATCAAAATATGGATTAGCCTACCTGGTGAAAAACAGTTTGGAAACCTTAAAGAACCGGATCTCGTTCACGAACTACTCCAAATGATCCGAATTCGTGAAAAGAACGGTGAATCCCAGCATTACGGAACTGCCAAGTAGTGACCGTGAGTAACCTCTGTTACGTTGCCGCTGCCCCAAGCACGCGCCACCTCCAAAACACCAATCACTATCGGAGAAACAGTATGACGTCAAACTAAAGCTTCCGGGCTGGTAGAGCTGGCCCGGTAATTCATAGATTTTGCTTCTTTATTACAATTTTATGACATGCTTGCTGTTGTTATTTATTGCCGGAAAATCCAATGTATATAGTTTATGCGAATATTTCTATCGGAGCTGTCGTTACGAGGATACATATAACGAAGACGGTCCCGGAGCGGCTCGGGCATAGCGGTTGAGAAAAGAGGTGAGAATGTGTTTCACGTTAAGCGCGTTGCAGATGTTGAGGAAGGACAGGACAATTTTTAGCCCCAGGTTGCTCAAGAGCTCAATGCCTCGCCTGGTTTATGAGATGATGAGTGTGTCTCGTTTTTTTTTTTACATCTTAGGTAAATATGTGTGAGTAAGCTGGTTTCAGTTCACCAGCAGCGGGCACTGCAGCCGCTCCAGCGTGTAGCAAGGCAGCTAATGAATAGCTTACCTCGCGAGGAGAGCGAGTGTCCGCTAACTGCTAATCTTAGCGAATTATAGCTAACCTTATGGACATTTTGAAAGACATATGATGGCTAAAAGTAAAAAAAAAAAAAAACAAAAAAAAAACCGTGACTTGTAAAATACAGTGCCGCTTGTATGTATGTATGTATAAAAGATAGCGACGTTTTAAAGGTAACGACACAGACATAAACAGTGGCAACGCAATGCCTACATTGCATTGCAGATAATAGATGTTAACTATCAAGTTACAGAGTGAAAAGCTGTGATCATTTACCAGGAAAGCCAATAAACAAAAATAAAAATGTACGAACTTAAAATATAACCATTCGCTTATAGTCCTCTCATTTTGATGCGCTCACCTGTGCTGTCAAACGTGCTGCCTGAACCGTAAAGGTGCACTTGACATATTGAACGCCGTATTATAAGAAAATCTCAAATATATTGGCGAAATGACATGCAGGTGTGCACCGAAACACTGATGTTTGATAGTAAGGTTTCTGTAACCTCGGTGATTGTATTAGTAGTTGTGTGAGGTGGGCTCTTTTAACAAATTAATTTCCTACAAAGTGCTGTAACAACCATCATCCTGTCAACCGTCCATGATAGGGCTGGAAAATATGTACACACTTTGTGTATTAATTTGCATTACTGTATTATTTAGAAATCTTATACTCGTTAAAGATCCACTGATAAGGCTTTTCCTGGCTGGTGTTACATCATACATTATAGTAAACTTTAATATCTGACCTCCTGATTCAGATTTTTTTTTTTTTTTACCTAAGTACTATAACAACTGAAAGGCGAGAGGAAACATCTTCAGCAGTTGTCTTTGTTTTGTTTATTTCTGATAGATGTAAAAGCATTGAATTTGGAAGTGTACTTGCTGCTTATCTCAGTACAGAGCTGAACTGTCCAGATAACTGTCAGATAAAATGGCACATCTATATTTTTTCTGTGTAAACCAGAACATCATTTTTGGAGCATGCCCTAATTTACAGAATGTCCTGTTTTGCATCATTAAAAACCTAGCGGAGAAGTGAAATAAATCCATTGGCTTACTAATGAAATGTTTCTTGTCATGCCATAGCCTGAAGCATCAAGAAAATAATCAAAGAAAGCAGAGCTGGACAAAAGTGTCCTCCTAATTTCACTATATTTCACGATACTGCACATAAGAACTGCTTATGTGCAATATTTGGTAGTCTTTTATGCTTAAACATGATATTGTTCTTTGACACCAAAATGCTAAAGCTCATTGTGATGATGGAAAAGTCGGAGAACAGTAAGGGACATTTTTGATCACAATTAATATCATCATTGCAATACTGATCGTTAATATTGGATTTTTATATTTTCACAATGGACTCATAAGCTACATTTATTTATTTAGATATGTGCAATCTCCCTGTGCTTCAGTGAATCTGTGCAGCACATTTGTTTTTCATTCCTCACGTAAAGTAAAATTCCAAAAAGGAAGTGTTGTGTCTAAAGCAGAATATCTGGTGAGTCACAGTAACCGTCCTTCTTCAAGGAACTGCCTTCATCTGAGAAAGAATGTTTTCTCTTTGTTGATGTAAAGCTAACATGGGAAAGGGTGTGTCTCCTTCCCCACCGACACCCTCAAAGTCAAACATACAACATGCCACACATGTACTGCCAAGTCGAACCAAATGCGTCTAAGATTTTACTGCCAGGGCTGCCGATGCACCTTCACACTGTTTGATTTTCCAAATCACAGTTGAGTTGTGTTAGTTGGCGTTGTTCTTTGAGATGCTGCAAAACAAGTGAAACACGTTTATCTTGAAAGACTTTTACTTGTTTATAGGGGGGGGTGAAGAAAGATGTACAACACTCAGAAGTATTATGCGTTCTTTAAGAAACAGAGAACCAACTCTGCGGAAAGAAATAAAGTTTTATAGATTTATTAATGGGACACAGAGTTATACTATAGACACGTGCTTGGTTAAACCAAAGAGTTTTGCATTTGCAGTCTAACTCTGCATTGGCTGTGAGGTGCAGAGCGAATCACACAGGTGTGTGGCAACCAGTTTGGTTCTATCGTTCCAAAGGAATTTCAGCTGCAGATGGTGGTAGCGGCCCACATCTTCAGCCTGAAGTATTTCCTCATAGCACTGTGACTCTAGCGGACCGTCTGTCCTCCTGACCCAGGTTCCTCTCCCTGCAAGCTGCAGCATGAGTCACCGCAGCCTCTTCTACCACAATCAGGCCTCCCTAAGCATACACTTCAGATACCCGAGCTGTGTCTGGGGTGATCCAAAGAGTTTTGCCATGTAGCCAAAGAACTTAGTGCAGTGTATGTTTCAGTGAATTATTCAAGACGCTCGGAGAGGCTATTGTAAAGGGAGTCACGGCTTGTTCCAAGTGTCGTCTTCTGGATTGTCTGCTTTTTGTCTTTTTAACCTTCAAAGTTGGGGGGGGTTTCCACAGAGTGTGAAAGCAGGAACTGACTCAAAGATCGGAATTGTTTCTATTTCACATTGTAGTTCCATTTTATTGCCATTTTCATCTGTAAAGCAAAGACAATAAATAAATTAGGTTCACCAGTTGAAATGACAGAAAGCTGTTTCTTATTTGACAAAATAGTTTGTCCATTAAAATAGCTCAAATCTTGATTTTGGGAGTTTCAGCTTCACACTTTCTGCTGTAAGATGTTTCACTGTAAGCATTGCCAGACATTCGAGTGAAATAAAAAGTGCTGACTGAGACGCAGCCTAAGAATAGGCAGACTTGGTTTTCATTCAAGCAAGGATTTACTTACTAGGATGCAGTTACTCATATTTACTGCAATCCAATCTATGGAAAATGTGCTAGAGATTGATTTTTATCTCATAGAACACCTCTAAAATTTCACGTGTACCCTTTGCTTTGCAGGGTGCCTTGCTGCATGAAGTACCCACCAGCTGGACTTGCAGCACTTCAGAATACTTTGTACAGGCCAGCTCAGTTTGCCATTGGTCAGAAGGGATCGACTTGTCTCCAGGACCGACTTCATTACAAAAATGAAGTTGAAGGAGGATATAAACCCCCTGCTCCTGCAGGTTTTCCGCTCTGTCGTCTGGGTCTATTCCGTCATAACCTTCCTACCCTGGTACTTCTTTTCCGGGGCCGGAACCAATTTGGAGCGAGCGCGTCGGATTAAGGCCTGCTCTATCAGCGGACACCCAGCGGGACCTTACCGTGCCGTCAATAGCCGAGAAAAGCTGGTGGCATTGGTGCAGCCGGGAGTCGACACACTGGACAAAATGTTCGAGTTTGCAGCGAGGAGGTTTCCAAACAGGGACTGCCTGGGCACCAGGGAGGTGCTGAGTGAGGAGGATGAACTGCAGCCAAATGGAAAAGTGTTTAAAAAGGTGAGTGACGTACCTCCTGTTTTAAATTTGGCTAGTTAGGGAAGTTTTTATAATGTCTGGTAATTTATCAACAGAGAAATTTTCAGAATTATTTTTTCTAAACCTTTCACAACAACAACAACAATAAAACAACAGTTTTTCAGTTTACAGCGAAAAACCCCTCTGGAAGCAGTGAGCATGGGGTTATAAACATAAATGTGAGAGCACATGTCATTGGAGTTTGGCAGCAATCAAAGAATGGCTGTAGTTTCAAAACATCACAAGGGAAGAAATATTAGCTTCAGCGGATTTTTAAGAGATTTTCAAAGATTTTAAAGTCAGAAGAGATCTAAAGTCTGGAGATACTTTGGGTGACATAACAACAAACAGAGGTTTTGGTCTGCAGCACAACAATGATGCACTTAGTAATGACCCAACAAGACAAAGTCACCATTTGATTTTTATAAGCTGCTGAATACATGCAGTTAGTCACGTTGTTGATTTTCTACATTTCACATTGATTACATGTTGATTCAAACTTCTAAATAAAAATCTGTCCCAAGGTCTATTTAAAATTTTAAAGCTCTTCCTGCACGTTTTAACATCCAGGCTTCAAGCATCTGATCTGATCCATTTTTACTTTTGCCCATTTTATTACATTTACCTGCTTAGATAATTTTATACCGTAACGAATGCAATCTAAACCAAGCGAACTCTCACACATAATCCCAACAGTTAATTAATACAATTCATGTTGCATGGAAATGTTTTAGTCTCCACAATTAGAGTTGAAAAAAAACTTTTATAGAAACTGGTTATTGCCCCTGTGGAGTTACAGTGAAAATGAAACGGGTCCTAGTTTTCTTTATTTCGACTTCAATAGCACATCCCACGTTCAGTGCTGAATATTGAACACATTTTTTAAACAAAAAAATTCTGAGTTTCACTTAATTTACATTAGTTGTGCTGGAGATGTCATGTTAAACATGCATTTCGTTCTTGAATGTGTTTGTTGTAAATGTCAAACCTGGATGTCAAAAAAACTAAAACGCCAAAAATATACCAATAACAGAAAAATATCTTTTTCATTACAAAAAATGTGTCCTATGTTTTAATTAAATAAATAATAGAATAATTATTGACATAATGTCATAAGTGGCTGGCTAAATGTTAGCTTTTGTATGTCAGAATGTGAGTAAAGCCAAAACGGCCAAAGCGCAAGTTCTGATATTGAAGCTTCATCTTAGTTGGCAGCTAAATGACAAGAAATGCCCTGTAGATGGCGCTAACTGACAGCGTATAAGCATCGAGGTCTGATTTGCATCAGCATGCGTCTATCTCAAATGCTACTGCTTATATTTAAGCACATTATCTTTCTGGGGGTTGGTTTTCTTCTTGGTTTGTTTCTGGTGTCAAAATCATTCAATAATATATCTTTACTATACACTTAAACACCAGCTGTCGAAGTGATTGTTTTCATTCATTGTGCAACCTGCTCTCTCTAGTAATTTCTATAAAGTTTCAGACTGATGGCATGAACGTTCTGCAGGGCAGCTCTCAGTTTGTGTGTGCTGTGTAATCCTGGTTGCCGAATGTAACCTTCGTGTTTTCTGCAGGTGATTCTGGGCAACTATAACTGGCTCACGTATGAGGAAGCCTACAATGCAGCAAAGTGCTTTGGTAGTGGTCTGGCAGCTCTTAATCAGAAGCCTCACCATAACATCGCCGTTTTCTGTGAGACCAGAGCGGAGTGGGTCATAGCAGCGCAGGCCTGCTTCATGTACAATTTCCCACGTAAGTGACTCACAGGCAGACTGTGATATCTAGTGAGCTATCAGTAAAAACTAACCAGACTTGAATGTAACTGACTTTCACAGTCGTGACACTGTACGCCACACTCGGGCCCAAAGCCATAGCTCACGGGCTGAACGAGACAGAGGTCACTCACATCATCACAAGCAAGGACTTACTTCAGAGCCGCCTTAAGGTGCCCCCCCCCCCCTCTGTTAAGTAAATATCATTAAGCAATGTAAATATATACACTTGCATAATTTGGTTTTTGATTCTAAATTGAGCTTTCCTTCCCAGGCCATTTTGTGCGACGTGCCGCGGCTCCAGTACATCATCGTCGTGGACATTAAACCCACCAGCTGGTCAGACATTCCCAGAGGCATCACAGTCTACAACATGGAGGGTGTGAAGGAGCTGGGATCCAAGCCCATTCAGAGTGAGCGTCTAGTGCTGATTGAAATGTTTTTAGTTTTATCCAGGACACGGAAGTACACAGATGCAGGCTTAATGCAAAGCCAGCTCGCTGATATGCAAGTAGAATGATGTGCCGGTGCATAAAAGAGTCATCAAATCACTTCTTACCAAAACGCCGCCCTGATCACGGTGGGGTAATGGGATAACAGCCATAACGGCGCTCTGGAATCACTTCAGCTACGTTTGAGAGAGAAACAATTGGTATTTAGATGATTGAGGTAGTTTAAAATAATGAGAACAAATTGGAACAAAATCAAAGAGCTGTCCAAGCATGAATCAGCTTAGTTGGAGCGTTTAGGTTTTATTTGACTGTGTAACTTTTGCCTATTATGACACAGTGTAACTAAACATGGGGCAGATTTGAGATTCTCATAATATGATAACCTTGAGTAAGAATACAAGGTCACAGTTTTTACAAATGTTTTTACGAATTTTGATAATGCCTTCAAAAGTATGTGAAGAACAATATTAGGTTTTGACTCTTTCCAGCTGTATTCAACCCTGAGGATAGTTCATATTTGTTTTAGGTAATATGTTGGTTCATGTTTGCTTTCTCTTTTTTCGTCGTCTTTCAAGCTGTTGTGATCACTAAGAAGAATTCAGTCTTTGCTTTTAAAAATTGTGTTTAAGTTTTATTGGACGTGCTGTCGGTTCTCGATTGTGTATTTGAAAAGGGAGAACGTCTCTTTTTTTTTTTCCCCCACCTGCAGCAGAACGGGTGGTGGCTAATTTGAATTGGATACATTTTTTTACCAACTTGCTTGAAGGTCTTAAAAAAGTACTAAGTGTTAAATTGAAATGATTTTCCACCTGCAACAATGTACTTTTATGAATGCACATTTGATAACATTTGGTTTCTATTCTCAACAGTTACTTGTGTGAGTCAAAAATATGATATTATTCTGAAGCATCAGTCCAGAAAACCTCAAAACCATTTGGTTTCGAAGATGTTGTAAATAAAAACAACTGTGTAATATTCTTCAGATTGTTTTAATTTGAAAGAATTTTAATTTGCCTTATATTTCCTCTCCAACCATCCCTTTCTGCTCCGCGCTTGTAGTGGACCGCAGACAGCCGGAGCCCTCGGACATCGCTGTCATCATGTACACCAGTGGTTCCACTGGCATCCCCAAGGGTGTGATGATCTCCCATGGCAACCTCATCGCCGGCATCGCAGGCATGGCCGAGCGGATCCCTAATCTCAAGTATGAGGTTCTCAGTTTGACCGGCTTGCTTTTGACACTTCCCCTCTGATTTTTCTAGCGGTTAAATTCTTCAGAACGTCTTTCTCTTCGTAACTGTGACTTTCCAAGCATTTTTAGAGATGCTTATTTTTGTGATGCTCTCTTCTCCTGTATATGTAAATAGATGACAATGCTTGTTTTTGTTGTCTTGGCAGTGAGACTGACACCTACATTGGGTACCTACCATTGGCCCACGTTTTAGAGCTCAGCGCAGAGCTGGTTTGCATCTCCCACGGCTGTCGCATCGGATATTCCTCTCCTCAGACTCTCGCCGACCAGGTCAGTGTGCAAATGGACAAACGGCTCTTCGAGCCAGTCTGTCTTATAATCCAAAGCGCAGTGAGCTCTGAGGTTGTGACAGGTGACAGACTGCGATCTGTACGATAACAGTTCACCAGAGTTGTTTCATTTTCATAGTCCTCCAAGATCAAGAAGGGCAGCAAAGGGGATACCAGCATGCTGAAACCGACTCTCATGGCATCTGTGCCAGTAAGTCCCGTTAACCTGTCACATAGCTTACCGAAACAGACGAAATGCTGTGTGTTCAGTCACATCTGAGCTGTCGTCTCATCTCTCCGCGTGCAGGAGATCATGGATCGAATTTACAAAAATGTCATGACCAAAGTGGACGAGATGAGCAAATTTCAGAAGACGCTCTTTGTGTTGGCTTATAACTACAAGATAGAGCAGATCTCCAAGGGCTACAGTACGCCTCTCTGTGACAGGTAATCCACACTTCACACACAAAGCTGCTCACTGACTTGACATTTGATTCGCCTTTCACACTCGAGCATTCATTAATCTCTAGATCTCTCTGTCTAATCACAACTTAAAGGAACTTCTTCCTCCACTAATCCTTAGTAAAGCAAAACTGTAGCTAGAGATATTAAAACTTAATGTGTTGTGAAGTATTTTACAAATGTAAAAATGCCACTTTGTGACGCATAAAATTCCAATAAAATAAATTGAACTTCGTTTTAGTGATGTGACAAAATGTTCATCATCACCTCGCTGATCTCTTTTTTTTTTTTTTTTTCTCCTGCCCTGTAGAATAGTTTTTAACAGAGTGCGGTCTCTGTTGGGAGGCAACACTCGGGTGCTGCTTTCTGGTGGGGCTCCGCTCTCTGCGGCAACACAGCGCTTCATGAACGTCTGCATGTGCTGCCCGGTGGGACAGGGCTACGGCCTGACAGAGACGTGTGGGGCTGGCACCATCAGTGAGAGTAAGGACATCGGAAAATAGCGAGTGAGGGTTTTCTCGATGTACTTATGAATTTTAGATTAAATTGGATTTGTTTTTGTTTTGTTTTTTTCCAGTGTGGGATTACAGTACTGGACGGGTTGGCGCGCCGCTGGTTTGCTCAGAGATCACTCTGAAGGACTGGGAAGAGGGTAAGGAAACTCGTAGCAAGGCAACATGTCCAGAGGTCATGTTGGGAAAAAAACATCACTGACAAGATTGGTGGTTGTTTAGGTGGCTACCACAGCACTGACAAGCCCAACCCAAGGGGGGAAATTTTGATTGGAGGTCCAAATGTAACAATGGGTTACTACAAAAGCGAAGGCAGGAACCATGAAGACTTCTTCGTGGATGCGAAGGGCCAGAGATGGTTCTGTACGGGAGACATAGGAGAATTCCATCCTGACGGATGCCTGAAGATTATCGGTAAACACGCAAACTGCTCTGTTTGTTCACACATTTAAAAAAAAGCTAAGCCTCTCATGAGCTCTTTGTTTTTGTTTCTCTGCAGACCGTAAGAAAGACTTGGTGAAACTCCAGGCAGGCGAATACGTCTCTCTTGGAAAAGTAGAGGCGGTTTTGAAGAACTGCCCGCTCATAGACAATATCTGTGCCTACGCCAACAGGTATCATCCCGCACCTGCTTCCCTCTTAGGCATTGTCCCTGCTCTGTAAGGATGTTCTATGATGTTTTTTGTTGTTGTTTTCAGTGAAGAGTCATATGTGATCAGCTTTGTGGTTCCCAACCACAAACACCTCATGTCATTGGCGGAGCAGGTTCAAATAAAGGGCACGTGGGAAGAGCTCTGCAACAATCCCAAGATGGAGAAGGAGGTTCTCCGCGTCATTACTGAGGCGGCCGTTTCAGGTAGTTAGGAAAAGGCTTGAAACTATGGGATTTAATATGGGAAGAAAGAAAAATGTGGGGGAAAGCCATAATTTCTGGATTTTATCTTGTTTCCTGTCGGCATTGATTTTATGATTGATCATATTTGTGTTATATGATTGTGTACAGCTCTATAAATAAATTTGGGATGGTAGTGTGTAATCAAAGTCTATATTTTTCTTACTAATCCACCAATGTATCTGTAAACAGAGTTACAGAAACAGATTCTTTGAAAATATCAGTCTGGAGAAATTTCAACTTGGAAAATGTGTAGAAACCACAATTAACAGCTAATGATAACTCGTGTCTGCCAGGCCACAACTTTTAAATGTGTTATGATAGCTTTGAACTTCTGGCCATTAAGGTATTTGTCAGGCTGATCTGTGATTCTGCTCTCTTCCAATTAGACAAACTGGAGAAGTTCGAGATTCCCAAGAAAATCCGCCTGAGTTCCGAGCCGTGGACGCCGGAGACCGGCTTGGTCACTGACGCGTTCAAGTTGAAACGCAAGGAGCTCAAAACACACTACCAAGAGGACATTGAGAGGATGTACGGTGGGAAATAAAAGAGTAGATGCACTCCAAATGACCGTCTCACGAGGACTTACATGGACGACACTCACACAAACACAGACACGCGGACCTGTTCGCCTCCTCTTCAGCTTCTCTGTCACCATCTACGATCAAACGAGGCACAAAAAGTCTAGAGTCAGGCTCACATCTTTAGGTCGAGAGCAAGAGGCCGATCCCACCAGACGCACTAACAACTCCACTCTCCGCCGATCCAAAAAAAAATACCCATCGAGTTGCCACGGCGACCACATGAAGTCAGACCTTTGCATGACTCAAAGTATAAAGAATGTCATGCTGGACGTTTGTACATCCGTGTCTGTCTCGCTTCTCTTCTCCCCGCCACGCGTTCTGGAACATTCCACCTCTGCAGCTCGGTTTGCCAACACGCGGCGCAGATATCCGGCAGGGACGTGCGATCCCTCTTAAGACTCTGAGGAACATTCAGGTTGGAATATTTGCAGGGATCATTGTTGTCATAATTTTTTTTTTTTTTTCTTTTGTGTGTTTTGCAATGTTTCTTCTATGTTTGGTTTGTCTGCATTGGAGTCCATGTGTGCGGTGAGTAACTGTTGCGAAGCCATGAGAGATTTTACATTACGACATTGGAAAATACGTTTTCTTGTTGCTTGTATTATTCAGATGGGTTTACTGTGTTTATATGGTTATGTTGTATTTTCTACCTGTTCATGCGCCATTGTATGTTTTCATTCCATTTTTAAGGTCATTTTCTCCTTTTATTTTTTATTTTTTTGTCAGGAATCCCAAAGTTTTCTCATTTGAGTGCATGTTTACTCACTTGTCTCTTTTATCCCTGCTCCCATCTAATGCAGCATCAATGGGGAAAGGTGTCCTTTGAGACAATGCATGGGTTGGGATTTGCTCCAAAATGACCTGCGTCATCTGCCCTGAATTCCTCCGGTCATAATTAATGCACCAATACGGATATACTCCAAGGGAACTTAGCTTACTGTAGAATGGTTTTAAGTAAATTTAGTTTTTTTTTTTTTTTTTTTTTTTTGTTTTTGGGCTCAGTTGTATGTTAATCTTATTAACCATAGGTCTTACTGTTACTTCTCTCAGTTTTTAAATAGAATAATGGGATACAAAAATGAATGTGCAATATTTATACTCAATGTTAATGTAAGAAGGAAGAAAATGCACAGCCGACAGCTTTTTTTTTTTTTTTTTTTTGGGGTTTTTGACACTAAGCTTCGTTTAGGGTGAAGGCTTTGTAGAGGATGGTAGAGAGACACTGATAGGGGAGTTTAGATGTAGCCTGTGCTGGAAAATATTCATTAAAACTGCATGATGGAAGGTGCACGACTGTACCAAAAAATAAAATAAAAAATCGCACTCCATTCAGGCCACTGAAAAAAAAATGCTTTATGAACACACTCCATGTTAGAGTACATAGGGAAAACTCAAACTGAGATTTCTGTATATTTAGACTGGTTTGTGTGTATAACTGTATGTGTAATGTACATATAAAAAAAGGATTCTGTAACCTCCCATTTATTTGAATCCATGTAATATAGAGCTCCAACGGTAGGCTGTCAGATAGACGGTGGTGTTTAATTAATTACATATTACAAGTGACTTTCTTCCTTCAGTATTATGTGTTTATAGACTGAAGATGAGAATGTTTGCTCAGTGCTGTAATGTAAGGAGGACAGTTTTTTTCTGAATGCAACCTCTGCTTTCTGGTACTTAAAGCATCCCTGCGTCGACAAAGGTACAGTCAGGTAGTCTAGCTCCATCTCTTTTAGCTCGAAAAGGTTTAGGTTGTAAGAATCTCGCCTGTGTCTTCCCTTTTTTTTTTTTTTAAATATAAACACAAAATGCTCCTTCCTCCGCTCTCTGATGTTTCAATGAAGAGTCCTTTACTCTGCTTTTTTTTTTTTTTTTCCCTTTTGCCCGGCTAGAGGTGGCTTGTTGCCTTCTGACAAAAAACAAACATGAGATATCTTCAGGGGTTCTTTAGAATGTGAAGCGCTCCATGCTTATTGTTGATATCGCACACGCTCCGTGTACCTGCCCTCAGCGGCGAGGCGGAGGCAGCAGATGGTGCAGAGACAAAATCTAATGTTTATTTTTCACTTGCTTTGTAAAAAAGGCTTAGAGGTCATGGGGGGGCTCTGATATCTAAATTGCATTAAATACTACCAATAACTGTACACCTGTAAAGCCTCCTGTAAATGTATTTGATGATCTCTGTTATTGACCGGTTTTGAGGGTCTCCGTTTCCTCTTGTTTTTTTTTTTTTTTGTTTGGTTTGTTTTTGTGTGATGAAGCTGAGCTATTGCAAGTGTATCCTTTCTTATTTATTTGTGATTTGGCCTTGGCAATTATGTAATGGAAATAAAGAAGTTTGTATTGTCGGTCCTTCTGTTCTTGGCGTGTCGAGCGTCTCAGAGATAAGCAACTTGATTGGAATCACCCTGAAACTATAGTTTCTATGGTAACGAAGGCCAGTGTTCCTGTCTGAGTGAACGCGGTTGGTGGAAGGCGGCGCGGCGCCCCGACACACACGGAACACGCAGTTCTCGGAGTCGAAAATGTAGCGCTTGTAAAAATGAGATTTCTCTTTCTGTTTTCAGTGTTTTGATGACAGACCTGCGCTCCCTCCTCATCTGTTGAAGGAAGAAGATTGTTGTTGTTGTTGTTGCAAGAAAGCAGACTCTCACTTATCGATCCCATAATTACATCATTAAACTATCGATTAGCAAAGAAGCGTGCATGTTTCTCTTTCTTGGAACCAGACTAGATAATTAACAAATAAATTACAAATTTGTCTCAAAAAAAAAGTTAACTTATTTGAGTAATTCACTTCACACAAGTAAAGATGTCAAAGATTCATTACACATAAAGTCCCATATTTAAAAAGCTTATTTCTAGTAATCATGGCCTTAATTGTCACAATGATCAAAATCTGATGATTTGGTGTGTCTCTCTCCTCTTTCTCCATGCAATACTCCATGGATTCTCCGTGAGGTTTGGGTCTGCCCAGTTCGTGCACAATACTACCAGCTTTTGGTATCTCTGGCAATGTGTGCCAAGTGCTGCTGGAAAACTGAAACATCTTCACCAAGATTGTGAGCAGAGGGAAGCATGAAGTGCTATAAAACGTTCCAGTGGATGACTGCACTGACTGACTTTGGACTTGAGAAACCCAGCGGACCAACAGGTAAGACTCTTCTGATGTCGTCTCTGGATCAGGAATGCAACAGCCGTAGCTCGTGTCTTAGCTACGTCTGTGTGCTGTGGCTCTTGAAACACTGACTCCAGTAATTAATTTGAACCCCCCACACCCCCCCCCCCCACACACACACACACCTACACCTTCTCCATTCTCTTGAAAAATCCTTTCTTCCTTTCTCTGAAGGCTGCAGTTATTTCCATTGCCTGTGCACTATTTTCTAGTAAAATGTTTTCCTTCCACTCCACTTTTCATTAACTTGTTTTAGTTAGCGCGCTCTGTGAACAACCAGCTTCTCCACCTTTTTTTTTTTTTTTTTTTCTAACCCCCAATGCTGGAGTATCAGTACGGACACCTACAACACTAAATAATAATGTTGTGTTTTATTGAGGTAGGCTTACTGCTATTTTTAATTTTAGTTTTCAACTGACGTGGTATATATTTTTATTTTTTTTTTTTCTTGGCTCCATCTTTCATTTGAAATAAAAGGCGGTCTACAAGACCACACAGTCAGGCAATCCTTCCCACTTTTCTCTGCCATTTCATCCCTCCATCCATTCCTCTGGGACGAGTGAGTGAGTCATAGGCATAACGCTCCCTTCATTAGTCCACTGATACTGATGCACACATGTAGAGAGAAGAAACGGCTCTGCCACAACAACAACAACAACAACACAGAGAAGCAGGAAGGTTGTCTTCCATATTGTTTGAATAAAGATTGTTGTTTCTATTTTTGTATTGTTTCCGTCTTCCTTTTTTTTTTTTTCCACTGGCATGCTGTTCCATCTTTTTTTTCTTCCCCATCATCCTGCTGCTGCTTCGCTTGGCTCCCTCTTCCTGTCTGCTTATGACTCAGAAGTGCGGAAAAAAAAAAAAAAAAAACTTTTATCTTTATGTTCTGCTCACACACACTCCTGGGTTAGCCAGAGACATATTGGCGTTTACCCAGGGATGAGCAGGGCTGACGCTGGACTGCTTCATAACTCTGGAGAGGTGGTGGGTGGTGCCTGGAGAAGAAGTGAGAATAATTGCATTTCAGGCTGAAAAATGGCGGTAACGCAAGGACAGAGCTGAGATGTGGAAAAAGAGGAAGAAGATGTTTGAGGAAGTACATATAGATTGTAACCTTTCAAACATAAACCCACTTTATTTCCCAATGGATCTGTAAAAAAAACCTTGCATCCAAGGTTTTTAATTAGTCTTATTTTGTTTTATATCACGTGTGTGCTGTTTTATATCTCCTCCTGTTTTATCTTTTGTTTTATGTCTTATATTTTGTAAAGCACTTTGTGATTTCTGTCCTGTAACAGGTTCTATGTAAATAAAGTTTACTTACTATGTGAGCTGTGTAGGACTACATTTCCCACTACTTGGACATGCACAACATCAGCATTCATTGTGTTTTGAGGGCGTTATCTCTAACCCATCAGGCTGTGTTAGAACTTCAAAGCTGCGGCTGAACAAGACTTCTAGAAATAAATATTTTCTGGGAAGAGACAAGCTCACTGGAGCACAGAGCACTGCAACATCTACAAAACAAATCAAGAAAATCAGCACAAAGCCCTGAAAACAACTGTGTATACATCGGTGGTAGTAATTAAGCTAACACTAAAATCTGGAAAGATCCATGCAGGGTCACAAAGGTAGATGAATGGTATTATTTTGTCAACAGTATGAGGAACAAATAGAGACATGTTGAACATGGTAACTTTAAGAAGTTAAAACGTAACTCTAGACGTTGGTGGATAATTTATTGCAGGAAGAAAAGTACATAGAGTATCTCACTCAGACTCAGGATCTACTTATGAAGAAGAAAACTTTAATGTAAATAAAACAGATAAAATGTAAAATAGAAGGCATGACAATAACCAATTGAACACTTGTGGCACTGGTATAATGGCGCCCTGGGCAGTGAGCCATGCTATCACTACTAGCAATAAAAAAAATTAAAAAAAAAGATGCGAATGACTCTACTTCCACTTTTGTAGAAATAAGTTTTGGTGTTTTTTAACTCATATTTTTCACC